TGCTTTCTTGCTCCGTTTCCGGGAATTTGCTGCTCAGCACAAGGAGGGTCTCGATGATGCTGTCGATGTGTTTTCCAGCAGGTGTGTATCGGCTTGCGATTGCTTCGAGGGCTTTTGCCAGCTGAACAGTATTAGAATACGAAGACTATGAGAGCTGGGCGCGCATACCTTGGCCAGTCGCTCGCGATGCTGCGCTTGGTTGACATCCCCTCCAAACACCACGACGCGCCACCTCCCATCACTCTTCAGTATACTCATCAACTGCACAGCCTTACAGTCGCAAAACCGTATAACCTGCGCACTTGGAAAACGCGTCCCCACTGTGACCGACGTAGCCGCACTCTTCTCCTTCTCCATCCACTTGGTAATAACGGTGTCTTCGTACCTCGCCGTGAAACCCGCCATATACCGCCCACTCTTCCTAAAGTAGTCCGCAAACTCGCCTTCATACCGATCTTTCCTGCTGATCATCTTGGCTAGCTCTTTGTCGAAAGCGATGAGGTCTGCTGCCGTCTTGCTGCGCTCGGTGACGTATGTCGACAGTAAAGAAGGTGGTGAAAGACCAGAAAGAACGGAGCCAAGCTTCCACCCGATGTTATACCCATCTTGGAGCGACACATTCATCCCCTGACCTGCCTTCGGCGAGTGCGTATGGCACGCATCGCCCGTCAGGAAGACGCGGTTATGCGCATGGAACACTTCAGCAAGGCGCTGACCGATACTGTATGCACTCCACCAGAAGACGTCTGCGAAATCCATGGTATACGGCGCAAAGATCCTGCGAGTCTGGTCCTGCAAGTCGGCCAGTTTCACGGTCTTGGGCTGCGTGCCGGCGGGAAGCTGGATGTAGAAGCGGACTAGTTGACCACCCTCGCGTGGGATGATGATGAGATTACCGGCGGTGCTGTGTATGGTGCATTTGCGGCGGATGTCGGGGAAGGTCGTAAGTGGGTAGATATCCATGACGCCCCAAACGGTGTCGGAAGAGTCGCCGAGCATGCGGATGTCGAGGGCTTTGCGAATGGTGGAATGCGCGCCGTCGCAGCCTAGGACGTATTTCGCTTCCCAGATCTCCTCTTTGCCATCTTTCTCAGCGGTCACTTTGACGCAATACGCGTTCGGGTCGTTTTTTCTTTTCTCGTCGATGTCCACGCTCTTGACGGCCCAGCCGTACTCGATACCGTTGCTCGTGCCTTCTTTCCATCTTCCCTGCTCTTTCAAGATGGTCTCCATCTTCCCCAGCATCAGTCCGTTCATGCGCGCTTGGTTCAGAATCACATGTGGCAAATGACTCAGGCCCTTCTCCGTATCGATAGATCTACTCTTCCTCTTAATGCCGCCTCGCTCATTGCCATTGCCATCTTCATCGACACCCCAGAAGCACACTTCCAAGATATGGTATGCCTCACGCAACAAATCTTCCGACAGACCAAATGACTCGTAGATCTCTACTGTGCGCACCTGTACGCCATCTGCTTGGCCAATCTTTAGTGGACCAGGACGTCGCTCCAGAATCGTAAATGGGATATTGTAGATTGCTAGCCAAGTTGCTGCGAAAACACCAGCTGAACCGGAACCGGATATGAGAACATCCGTTTTTGGCATCGCGTCAACGTAGTATATCGATTCGTTATCGAATTGCTGGAGTTTGGCGCACTAATGGGTGAACCCGTAAACGGTAAAGATGAGTTGGAAGGCGATTATATGCGATAAATGCGTTGATGCTACTCCGTACAGCGACGTTCAATGATGCAGTAACAGTGAGAGACGACATCGCGAAATCACAGCATTCCGAAGTTTATACTTGCCGAATGAAGCCCCGAGGGTGCATCGGACATGCTGCGGGGATGAACATCGACCCGCTCACTAGTGTATCATCAGTGCAGCGAATCCGGGGAAGGGGCCGGAGTAAGGTTCTCCCAAACTTCGAGCGGTGAATGTATGACAATCATGTGAAGACGGTATTCCAAGGTTGTCTGCAACAATGGTATTCGCATTGCTTGCCAGATGGGGATGGGATAAGATGTACTGCTGCGGCGCTGTCCACGCGGCCCCAGGAAGCCTCGGCTCGGACAAGACCCCATGTAAAGAATACATCAAGACACCCACCTACAGGAACAAGACTGTATATAACCTAGAAGTCTACATTATCTTGAGATCTTGTCGTAGGCTTGTCTTTGAACTAATGTAGGCTGTAAGGCACCTCCTAGTCCCCTCCCTTGTATGAGACGATGGTGTGCGCAGGGAGGACTTCGGTTGATTGTAAAGAGTTGATATTACTATATAAGCGCTAAATATGTCATGATCTCGTCTGCAAAAGGCGGCAAAAGAGCACATTACCCTGTGCTTTTGCAGGTCCTAATTCCTCCAAATCCGAAAGGCTACCGTTCACAAGCAGTAGTACAATGCTGAAGCATTTTGCCGAAGCTGATATGCGCCATAAACTCCACCCAATGCCGTAAAATGGTATGCGCAAAACATGTATCATCGAAAGTAAAACAAAGCGGGATGTTGTCGTGAGCCTAGTGGCCGACAGCGGAGTAGTGCGAGTTGCGCGTGTACGGTTGCTGGTATAGTGATGGAGCGTAGTCGGAGTCCTGGTACATGGTGCCGCGCTTTTGGTCCTCCTCAAGGAAAGGCTCCTTGACCTCCCAGTTGTGTTGCTTGACGCCGACGGAGAATTCGAGATCTTCGCGAGTGATGGAGTCCCAGTACTGGAAGTTGTCAGCGTTGTTCGGTTGGATAATGTTAGTGGTAAGCGTACCTTGTAGACCATCATGACGGCAAGCAGGTTGCAAATAGTTGCGAAGAAGAGGCCATCGATGTAGTGCTGGACCTGGTCGCAGATGGTGTCGCTGAAGACGTATAGAATGACCTGGCCGATGACAAAGAAGAAGATGCCAAATGAGATATCACCGAGCGGCCAGCGGTCCTCCAGTGTTCCGACAACCAAGATGATCTGGCTGACGGTGTATACGAAGAGGCAGATGGCGTTGACGATGTAGGTAACGACAAAGATGCCGACGGGGTTGCCAGGTTCCAGTCCAGCCCAGCCCTTGAATGTCAAGAGGTTCACGGCACCGCCGACGATGAACATGGCCAGCGAAGAGAGGCGTAGGAGCCAGACGGAGAGTGTAGTGCCATCCTCGTAAAGTTGGAAGCCGACGAAGCCGTTGATGAGCAGACAGGTGCATAGCGCAGAGACGAGGCCGTTCTGGGCGGCGGCGAAGTACGGGTAGGCGGCAGAGCCAGGAGCAGCGACACCGGCGTCGAGGACGAGCGATATGATGGTCAAAAGGAGGTAGATGTAGAAGAAGGACGTGATTTCCTTGCGACCTGCTATGCATTAGTGAACTGCCCCGGCTATAGGCGGCAATGCGCAAACGTACCGACAGCTGTGAACTTGGAGCGCACATGGATAATCATGACGACCGTCATAATCATGGCCAAGATGTGCATGAAGTCGTTCGCGGCCTCGAAAATGAGGGTATTCGCGATTTCAATGGTGCGCGCATAGCACTCTGTCTGGATGCCCACGCCATCGTTGATCGCCTGGTGGCCCACAAGCGCGCATAGTGGTATCGGTGCCTTTTCGCATATCGTCTGGAAGTCGCCGAAGCCCATGATCGCGGATTATGAAACGTGTGAGGTCGCTCGGGTTGCGGCGGGTCTGGCGCGGTGTGCGGCGGTAGCTTGGTGTCGATGACGGTAAGTGAGTGAAGTGTGATAGCGGAGGAAGGTGCGGACGATTAGCGAGTGAATGTCCGCAAGGTAAACAGAAACGAGAGAAGGCGCGGTGGGGTGCGGCGAGGGTCAGGGATACTATGGGGGCGGTTGTCAGGAGTGAATGCGCACTGTTGACACTTCCCGAGCCGCACTAGGCCCACCCTGCAGGTCGTATCCACATCCAGGCTAGTCCGTGCTATTTGCGTCTCCACGATTTTCTCCGGGCAACAAGACGATACGACCTCGTGATGCCGCCACTCGCACCAAAGTCGCGATCCTCCTCTTTTGTTAGTAACCTTGTGGAATCAAATCACCTCTGTCCATATCATACCGTGTCAATAGAAGAGACTGCAGCGGCTCCCAGTGGCACATAAGAGAGCATGCTCGAGCACCCATTTCGGGAAAAACAGGAAACCTGTCCCTTGGTGAAGTAGATGACCTAGATGTCTACGTTGCCTCAGGGTTCTGTCATTTTTCGGCTTTATCGCTAATGTAGGTTGCAGAGCACGCGATTTGTTCATATGTGGTTTTATAGCGATAGGACACATCGACAGAACCCGCCTGATGAAAGCTGGTAATTGGAAACTAGACTCGTTGCGCCGCTCGGGTCCTAGGGCAATTCACCTCATTCAAGGAAAAGTCTGGACACCCTAGAGCCTACGTTGACGTTGAGTTACATACTTTGTATCTTTGAATGTTGATGTAGGCTCCACGGTGTCCACGTTTTCTCTTGAATGAGGTGAATCTGTAAAACCGTGTTCTGTCGGAACAGGCGTCAACATTCTGCTAAACCCGCATTGTATAGCTTAACCTCTGGGATTTGCACCGGGACGATATGGTAGCCTTTCGTGATTAGGATGACACTGTGGAAGTCTCGCACGGCTAGGCAGTCATCAGATATGAGCAAGTCTCTTTTTACTCACTTTTCACTCTCACTTTGCACCCGAAATCTCTTCTCAAAGAGCGCGACCCCAGACCATCGACCCCACTAGCAACCACCGCCCACTCCTGTTTCCTTCGATCACTTGCTCTGATGATCTGAGAGTTCTCAAGTCCTGAGTCGCCGCTCTTAACAGCCGACGTCCTCTACCAGGAACAAGTTCCGTCTCAACTCCATATCACATACGATGGCCGACTATCCTCCTGACTTTTCCCGCACCGCCAACGACGCAGTGTCGCGACTGCATGACTACCAGGCGCAGAATCCTCTTCGCGCCACGGCTGGACCAAGGGGCTACTCAACTTCTCCGTCGCCCGGTCTAGCCTCCCCGTCCATGTCTCCAACCACGTCCGTACGCCAGCTATCACCGCCTTCCCCGAAAGTTCCCAGCTTCCAGCCTTCGCGTATGGCTATACCACCGACTGCGTACGCTTCTTCCCACACCACCGCGCAGTATGCTCCGCCGAAAGCTCCACTGCCTATTATCGGTACACAGTCGAAGTCGCCTTCCCCGCCGTATGCTCCGCCGACAGGTCACATGCCCGTCATTGGTACGCAGTCAAAGTCCCCATCCCCAGAGCCATTACCAGGACCGTATGTGCCGCAAATCTATCGCGAGCCGCTCGAGCGTCTCACTCGCGAGATGCTCTACGATCGCATATATCTGGTCCTCCGAGATATCTTGGCTATCTGGTGGGCGGAGAATCCGGACGCGATGCATCGTCTAGTCTGTAAGTTCTCTTTTCCGCTGTACCACATGGTTTCTCCTCCGCTGACACAGGATATCTTCAGACTATCTGTCCGACTATGTCATCAACCTTGGTGTACACGGTATCTTCGGTCCTAATGGTATACAATCACTCTGGCAACTCTGCATGTTCATAGGACATGAAGGTAGACGTAGCTATATGTGTTTGGCCGTCCATCCGGAACGCGGCCGCACCAGGGCCCCCACGATCGTTCTCAAGGGCGACCTCTTCGAGAAGGAGGGGAATGACCCGTTGGTAGATGAAGAGGTCTACGGATTGGCCAAGGATGGTTTTGAGAGGGCCGCTCTGGGGTTGCATGCAATGATCCTCGCCAAATCTCCAAAGATTTAGCCGTGGGAAAAAGATGTTGAAGCGGTTGGAGCTCCTCAGACAAGGAAGAAGCTGAAGAAACTGAAGAAGCGTGCAGCCTACGACATTTCAATGAGAAGCAAATGGCATGGCGTAGCGTCAATGTAGGCTCTGCGATGTTCAGTATTTCCCTTGGATGGCGCGGTCACATCTTATAAGCTATCTTAGGTAGTTTCGACTCGGTAGCTGGCGTGGGAGCGCGCGGCGTGTACAAAGCTTGTAAACACAGCCATATCTTCCGTCGATGAAAAGATACAATGCCTCATCTGGATGCTGCACTCTTCTTAATGACAGTCGTTGCGCGCTTGATCTGCAACGTCGTCGCACGTCAACCAAGAAAAAATCTGAACAGGCCTGCAGCCTACATCAACATGGAAGCATACAGAATAGGTGACCTGGCGTCGATGTCGGCTCTAGACCTTTTCGGTTTTTTTCTTGTATGAGGTGGTCGGACATCTGCAGGTTCGACATCTCACGATTGGTCGGCTCGTAAAAGCACGTGATGCTTCCCGGGCGCTGATGTCATGATTGGCCGTCTCCCGTCCGCCACACTCGCACCTTCGTCGCGTATCCTACCCGACCATACTCACGCGTCTCCATCATGCAGTCACACTGTACTCTTACCGCCATCTCTGGCATGCATCTAGGATGTCTTCGACGAGCGAGGCGTCTTTCCAAACCCGCAGACGGGCTCCAAAAGTGAAGACAGGCTGCAAGACGTGCAAGTACGCAACGGACACCTTTGCATGTGACAAAAGGCTGACACATCGATTCTAGAGTGCGACGCGTCAAATGTGATGAGAAGAAGCCAGAATGCCTCAAGTGAGTCTTGGCTCCCCATTCTCGCGGATCAATCCGTGAGCTAATGCTGTCAGGTGTGTGCGTACTGGCCGCAAATGCGATGGTTACACAACAAACGACGCGAACTTCCAAGTCCATGTCTGGACTCATGGACGAGCCTCCGATCCACAGAACGCCATCTCTGCCTTCAGTGGCCTTGGAGATAGCGCACGCTATCTGGACTTCTACTACCATTGCGCCTGCCCTGCACTCTCCACCAACTTCGACAAAGAATTCTGGTCTCGCATCGTACTGCAGATGGCTCACTCGGAACCAGCCGTTCGCCATGCCGTGATAGCTCTCGGAGCTCTTTGCCAAACCGAGCCTGGAGACATGAAGCATGCATGCGCGGGCTCCATTGCCAATCACGAGCGCAAGGTTATGTTATCTCATTACAACAAATCCATTGGCTGCTTAGTCAATCGAATGAGCGATGCCACTTACTCACCGGAGCTTGGACTTGTTATCTGTCTTCTTTTCGTTTGCATTGAGTTCCTCCAAGGCAGCTACCATGCCGCCTTCACCCATTTGAGGAACGGCTTCAAACTAATGTACGCGCCCCGCATGGCACTGCCCAACTATAGGGACTCATTACAAACCACGTATCCCCCCAAGGTAGCATTGGACGGGCTCGGAATTTCGAGAAGCTCAACAGAAGACAAGTTGATGTCCATCTTCACCCGCGGCATTGCGCAAGCTTTGCTCTATGGCGCCAGAATTCAGGAAGACTTGGAGATATTGCAAGTGATGCCTGCTTCGTACTCCAAGCGCTCATTTGCGAGTCTCTCCGAGGCGCACCAGGCCTACTTCGAGCTTCGCAATGCATCTATAACTCATCTGTATATTATGGGAAGAAGATCACTCGTTCGGCAGGATCCTAGTCCTGAACTGTATCGAGAACGCGACAATCTGTTGGCGTGCCATCATCTCTGGCACGAGAACATGCAACGCTTCGAGAAGCATCATGCGCTCTCGAACGATGAATTAATGGCTGCGAACGCCCTCAAGGTTTCGTATCACACGACGTTTGTTTACGTATCATGCTCAGCAACAGTCATCGAGAAGACATACGACAACTATCTAGATCACTTCAAGAAGATCCTGCATCATGCCCAAGCAATCATCGACTCGAGGCCGCCCACGAACCCCAACACCGCTCACTTCACTTTCGACATTGCGATAATTCCTCAGCTCTATTTTGTCGCAACTCGATGCCGCTGTCCCGTTACCCGACGAAAGGCAGTAGCGCTTCTAGAACGTAACCCACCACGCGAGGGCCTTTGGGATGCGGGGCAACATGTGGCGGTGTCCAAACGAGCGATCGAATTGGAAGAAGCCCAAGTAGACCAAACCACCGGCTGGCCGGTAGAAGAAGCGAGATTATGGAATTGCATAATCAAGGCTGGGATGGACGTAAAGGGTGGCTTCTCCGCGACATTTCTACCAGCCGCATGGATTGGGGACCTTGATGCGAACGGAAATCAGAAGATGATTCGCGAGTTCTTCGTTCTGTGAGTGTGGCGCGCCACTGCATGTGGGTTTTACGGACTATGCCAAACGTCCAGAAGGGGGTCTCCACGGGCACGGTGACATCGCCTTCATGCCGCGAGATGATACCGCTACAATTGGCAAAGTTCTATCTTCCATTGTGACAGCAGCAAACGATCAACAAGCCGAATACATGAATAAGGCATCAGATCAAGCACCCCGCCGACCACATAAAAGCCTGGTCCCGCCGAAACATAACTCGCAAATATCTACACTCCAATCCAACAAGTACAACTTCCGAACATGACTTTCAACCCAGTACGACACGCTTTGCAGACGATGCTAGCGGACCAGAAGTACCGTGGTCTCCCGCTTCTCACCGCTTCAGACTACACACCTTTTATCAGTACGTGTTACGCTCTTCAACATGTTCATATGTTTGCTAACACATTGAAGAGGCCATTGAAGCTCTCCTCGCGAACCCCACCTTCATGCACGACCATGTCTGGCAGACAGAATCACTCGAGCACTCCATCAGTCGCCCAGCCTTCAGCGCCAAGAACCGTGACGATTGCAACAACAAGTTGGATATTCGTCGCTACCAGGGCGCCGAAAAGGATTCCCGTGGTGCGACCGTCTTTGAGGGCAGTGTTGTTCTCATCGTTGTTGATGGGCATGTGTTGGCCAAGGGAAGGAGTACCTCTTCGCCGGCAGATGCGCTGCTGGATGTGTTCCAGAAGGTCGTTACTTTGGCACGAGAGTATGAGTGAAGTGGTTCATGGCGATCATTGAGGCTATCTTCATGGCTTGTTTGTATTACTAGTGTCCTGTGCTTCACCTCTTGGGTGCGAGGAACTGTTGCTGGCGGTCATATGCTCTATCATATTTAATATTAGGCTTTTACCAGACTATCAACAGTACCATTCGATCATCCAAGGCTGCCTGACTCTGAGTGATGCTTGTCGAGACATTGTGGATATGCAGCTCGATTGCTCGAAGCTGCTTTCGCAAACATGCGGAAAGGCGTGATTAGCCAGGTCATACTGCGCCGCCCACATTGCTGAAGAAGTTTGATGTCAAACGCATATACAATATAAGATGCTGATTCATGGTCAGTCCGTAACTTCGTCCGCACAAAGAATACGGCAAGATCACAATACTCATGGACGAAAAGAAATACGACCCGAACTTCAAGAACCAGGTCGAATACGTCATAGCGGACAAAAAACTAGGAGTCTTCAGTTATACGGAGTACCAGCCTTGGTGTAGTAAGTGCCACCTCTTCCATCGGAAGTGATTGACCAACATAAGTCAAGAGGACAGTATCTATCTTCTCGACGTAGGAAGAACGCATCTACGACATTACACGTGGGAGGGCCCGGTGGAAGACGAACATGCAGAACTTCATTCCGGTGCAACAACCCTCGTCGATGGCGGCGACTCCAACGACTCACTCAACAGTATGGCGCAATCTTTTGATTTCCCAACCCAGTTCAATGCGTCAACGGTAGAAGGCCAAAAGTCTATCGCAATCACAATCAAGTGGGAATTGGAACCGGAATCCTGGAATCCTGATGTAGTCCGCGGAGAGGGTTATGTTGCGCGCTTCTTGGTTGGCGAGTGGGCGCTGGCGAAGGGTCAGTCAGTCGTGAGTGAGAGGGAGGCAATGATTGCGCTTTTTAATAGGGTGCATACGCTGGCGGAGAGTTATCGTGAGATGGATGAGGAGAAGCGTAAGAATGATGAGGCGGAGCGTGCGAAGGACGAGGAAGAGCGTATAGCGAGGGAGAAGGAGGCTGGAGAGGCGGTTGTCGAGTAGCACAAGCCCAACAATGGTGACTCCGTGGGTTCGATATGTGGGGGCAGGATGTAATAAGTCTCCGTATAGCGCTTGCCGTGGGCACCTTGCCGATGACGGTAGCTACCAGCCCAGTCTAGCCAATTATCAAGTCGTCGAGCAGATAACATTCCTAGATTGGTGCCTCATTCAACCGAAACTAAACGCTCTGGAGCCTGCGTTGACGTTGGGTCATCTACTTTGCATGTTTTCATCGTGATGTAGTCTGCAGGCCTGTTCGGTCGTCGCCTTCACTTCAAACGATCGACAGGCCCATGATGACTAACCACTGCGCACGAGGACTGTTATGGGTCGACGAGTGAGAGAAAGTCGGTCCGCGGTCTAAGGCAATATCATCACTAAGTGTGGCTCGACTTATATTCCCTATCGCGGGAGTCTCACCATTCACGACCTTGTGACCTCTCACGCAGCGCGACCTTCGGGACAGATACAACACGGCCTAAAGACCACCAGCAACCCATCTTCTGAACCGACACACGACCGACAAGAGCGATGAAGCTAAGGCTCCGTCTTGGGCAGCCCAAAGACAGGCTGCGCAGTCATCTCCAAAGCTCACTCGACGACTCTTTGGGCAAATTACCGTCGCACGATCGAACACAACTCCTTGGTAAGTAGCCAGGCCAGTATAGCTGCATTCAACTAACCGCGAGCATCAGACGACCTCTACTTCCTGTTGCGCAGCCCTCTCTTCCTCTATGCCGTCGCCCCACGCATTCGCCGCGGGACAGCCTCATCGCAACGCGACACAACCGGCCTTATGACGCCCAGTTCGCTAGCCGACGAAAGCGTAAAGGAAGAGGGTATCGATATATCAGCGCTGAATATGAGAGTCGGATGGGATGGCGAGAGCTGGGCGACCCAAATCCTCTACGACAACATCTCGCTCATCGAAGGTCGAGAATACAACACCACAAAAAAGGCCGGCTACGCTCCAAGTTTCCAGTGGTTCTGCGAAGAGGCAAGGTTCTTAAGCTGCGAGTTCCACGCTCGTGAACAACTCGCGATGGTGGCGCCGAGCGATGCGGTCGATGCGGAGCCAAGGGAGGTGGAAGGTCGCCAGACGCGCGCGAAGAGTGCGGGAAAGAAGGAGCGTCGCGTCGTCAAGTTGAGTATAAGGTACAAGATGGTGCGTGGCAAGCCGAAGCTTACGAAGAAGGCGAGCTAGATGAAGAGGTATGCGGTGTATGAGGGGAGCGCGAGCCGAGCGGATTCGTCGAGACATGGGGGTTCGGAGGCTTCGCAGTAGTATTACAGTGCGAGACATGGTGTGATGGAACGTGGAGCACCTCGCGGTATGCATCTGTTCGAGAGGGTGGCGGAGCGTTCTCGTCTTCTACAGGCAGCATTGCTTTTCCTGCGCTATCAGCATAGACGAATGTAAATGTACCCGTATGTGAAGATGATTGCTCTTGACGAGTTGTACATGAAGTGTTGCCCAGACGTATACATGACCGTCCTTACATGGAGGATGCAAGTCCAAGCACGACGTATACGCTGACATTGTACCAACTCGGGATAATCAGGTCACTTCGCGACGCATCTCGTTACGCTCATGCGACGCCATCCTCAGACGAAGGGCCATCGGGGATCAATCTCGCCGCAATGTCGATGACGTATCCTTAAGGTAAAAGTGAGTCTGGGAGTCGCTACGCAAAGGAGCACGACGCCTCCGAGCAGGCAAAGGTGACGCGTGATACCGGAGCCTGGAGACTCAACATCACCGGCAATGTTCGACAGGCGCCCGGATGCCGGAGTTCTCCCGACAGCAGGCAGAAAGGTTACGTGCGACGCTACTGAGTCTCACGTGACGTCTAGCGCGCCAAGGCCACAGCCTGTATATATTCCTACGCTCCCTCTGCCTCCTCTTCTGTTCTTTAGCTCTCTTTGCCTTTTGGCTTAGATCAAGTGTAGTATCTGTTCTTTTCAGTTTAATCTCTGAAACTCTCCTACGGGAGAATTCTTGATTATTCCTATTTTTGAAACCAGTCGAAGAGGCTCTGGGCTTGCTCACCTTCTTTGACACAGTGTCGCCAGTATTTCACTACCTCTGGCAGACGCGACTTTTTCATTAAGACTTCTGGCTTGCCAGTAGCTTGAGGAAGGAGTTTGATCGTGACTTTGAACTTAACTTGACAGTTGACATCATAGCTATCGAATCGAGATATCCATGTCTAAGTATTGCATAATCCCTTGCATGAGATCAGGCATGTGTATTCGCCGTTTGCGTCCAGATAAACGTGAGAGCGACACTGTGTTCGTATTTCGTGCTCTGTCGCGGTCATCTACATCCTGCCCTTGAACGTAAGCCCTGACCAAAGTTATGCGAGGACCTGGAGCGGGGTTATGAGATGTCGTCTACAAGTGCTTGGAGTGAAGTCGCGGTTGCTATGTTGTACAGCAGTCGGTGGCGCACGCATGCTTACCTGCCCTTGGAAGCGCCGCATTCCAATCGTAGCACAATTGTGCTGATCTCATTTAGTGTGCACTCATGCTATCCAGTCGAGATATCACTTTGGAAAGAACTGTTAGTCTATTCCGTGCGCTTACAGCTGAGTAAAAGCAACTTCGCGCGGTGAGTAGTGAGAGACCGAAATTTTGTAGCTTGCCGTGACAAACAACGTCGGCTCAATCCTCAACACGAACTTCCTTGCAACAACACCCCGATATCAAAATACACGTCAAGATGGCAGCAAATTCAGGCATGGTTAATCCAGCCATCTTCCAGGATCTCCAGGCGCGCGTAGACGAAGACACTGCTACGCGGGATGTAAGTGGCGGGCGATTGAGCTGCACGTGATAGCGTACTCACAACGCGACAGGAGCTGCGCGACATCATCCAGGCGCTTGAGAAGCACAGTAAGTATGCTTCAAACCAGCAGTAGACTATACTGATATCTGATAGACCGCAACGTCTCCTTCGTATTGTCGAGAGCCCACTCGACGCCGGTCAACGAGCGTGAGTCGCTCTTCGCCTGTCCAACGACACCACGACTAATCAGACTATAGTACCCGACATTCTCAAAGCTGCACAAGAGCCTATCGAAAATGTGATCGACACCGTTGGCAAGCTGTCGCAGGCTGCGTCAAAGATGCCGTATTACAAGTTCAACAACATGTGGAGCCGTCAGATGCAGGGCGCAGTAAGCTCATCAATCACATGATATCGCCATCGCAATGCTAACAACACGATAGTGCGAGAGCGCTCTGTTCTGGGGCTGGCTCGGCGGCTACAAGTACGATGGTGGCGAGGTACAGTGCGGCCGTCTCTTGACCATCGAGGAGCTCGGCGAGATCTTCAAGAGTATGTTTAGGTTTATGGTGCACATGCGCTCCGCTCACCATCGCAGTTCCCGTGAACCTCAAGGACCGCGATGAATTCCACCTCTCGCTCGAAGAGTACCTCCATTCTCTCATGACGCTCGTCGAAGAACTGGTTCGTTGCCTCGCTCAGCTCCAACCCGCATCAATGCTGACAATGACAGACACGTCTCGCACGTAACGCCGTCACTCTCGGTGATTACGAGCGTCCGCTTCTCATCAACCAGTTCGTCAAGGACTTGCACGCGGGTTTCCAGATCCTCAACCTCAAGAACGACAGCTTACGCCGCCGCAGCGACGGACTGAAGTACCGAGTCAAGGATGTGGAGGACGTTGTCTACGATCTGTCTTTGAGGAATCTGTTGCCGAAGAAGGGCGAGCAGAAGCAGTAGATGTCTGCAAGGTGCTGCGAAATGAATGCTTCTGCCCAGATACATGGCGCACGAGAAACACGCTACGAGATGGACGAAAAGAAGGCCAAAACAGATAGGTCGTCAATGAATTCCATCACGATCCATATGTGTTTACCACTTCCCACAAACCATGGAGGTGCTCGAGGGATGTCCGCTGTTCGTCCAATGAGCGAGCAGCACGGACATCATCACGAAACTTTCCGATGCGCGACATCTCTCCGCAGTACCCTCGACCACAGTAATCCAACAGGCCAGACGCCACTTCCGCTCCTTTAGACGCCACTCACCCTGCATTGCGTCGTCAATTGACATATTCATCACGTTGACAGCAGCGTGCATCGTTGTCTCCCATCTCACTCGTAAACATGGCCAGCACAACTGTCATCAACGCCAACGCGACGTCAAAGGTTCAACCCTCCACGGCGCCGCCAATTGAGCCTTTGAAGAACGATAGTGCGCGACTTTACACGCATATACACCCGATACTTGTTCTCTCGGTCTATGCCTTCAAGTTTCCCGCCTTGGTCGCGGACCCGGTGCCGACGCTTCTTTCCACTCTGGCGCCGCTCGCCGTGCTGCAAATCGCCTTTGCAGCAGTATGCCTTCCGCCAACAGGAGGCACGCCTTCCTTAAAGAACAAGAAGCCTGGTGAGAGGAAGGGGAAGGCACCGGGCAAGCTGGAGCAGGGGCTCAACTCGAAGATCGTCGTACGTCTACACTCCCACTCGTACAGCCTACATTGGACTTGCGACAGCCAACTAGAAGGAAACGTTACTGACTATACGATACACAGCCGGCATTCTTATCCCTCCTTCTGACTACGCTCGCCGCAACACCGCTCCTCACCGCGACCCTCGTTCTCTTCGGCGCGCCTGCCACCACGCATCACATGCACACCCTCCTCGCTGGAGCCCACATCGCGCTACTCAGCACATTGCCTTTGGTATACGTACACGGTGTAGACGGCGAGACTTGGAGGCAAATCATTGCGCTACTTTTGCCGATGGATGAAGTCTACGGAGGACTGATTGGTACCGTGCTCGGTGCATGGCTGGGCGCTGTACCCATCCCTTTGGATTGGTGAGTACTTGACCGACTTCAGCGTTGAGACTGGAGTCGACAACGTATATGCAATGGGCGTAGCTAATGAAATACAGGGACCGCGAATGGCAGAAGTGGCCCGTTACCATCGTTACTGGCGCTTACATTGGATACGCAGTTGGCAAACTG